TTTTTCCTTTCTCTTACTCTTTCTACTTCCTTCCTTTCCTCTCTTTTCCTTTCTCTCTCTTCCATTCTTTCTATAGATCTTTTTTCTCTCACTTTTTCTCTATTTCTCTCTCTCTACTTCCCTTTTCCGATCTTTCTTCCTCTTCATACACACATTATATATATTATTCTGAGAAGGATTAATTCATCTTCTATAGTCATTTCCCGTGCTCCCAATTTTTCAAACTCACAATACTTGTCTCGTTCTTTCAATCTATGTAAGTATTGTATAATGGAGTCATTGGGTGCTTGTCTTGTCTTTAAAATGTTTTTTTTTTCGGTGATGACCAATTTTTCTTTTGATCTTATGTTCTTTTTTATAATTTTAATAATTTCTTCAAATGTCATTTCTTCTAATTCGCTCGGGTAACACATTGTCTAAATTTTCTTCATAGCTTATCTCATTCTCTTCGCCGTCGGTTTTGTGTCTCTTAATTTTATCATTCTTGCAAATGCAGCAAAAGTTCTTATCCATGTTTCTATGTGTTTTAGGACGTCCAGCGAATTTAACGATCCTATCGGCAATGACATTGTTATGTTTTGCATATTTCTCTGCGTAGTTATATTCGTAGTACAGGTCTCCGTGTTTTGCTAGGCATAGCTCCTAGTTGTTCCCTATTTGTACTTGTCTATCTAATTTGAATACGATACAACAACTTTCGTTTTCTCCACACACTTAATATTTGCATTGACCGGTTACACATTTTTGTAATTTAATCTCGATTAGGTCACTCCTCCTTACCCCAATATAAAACATGCTTAAGAGAGATATGAAATTAACCCCTCCCTATACTCTACATTGTCTCGTTAACTACAACTATTACCCTCCCTATTAAATTACAAAAATTACACTACCCATCAATTTCTAATCCCATTTTTCCTTTCATTTCGTTGTTGGAAGTGTTACCTGATGATCCGGAGTCCTTCAAAAAGGATTTTGGTGAAATAAATTATTGTAATGGTACCTTAAAGTGGTCTGTTTTTTCATTATACCGGGTGTAACTGCAAAATTGTCCAAATCGTGTAACAACATGGGATAATTGTCCATTTCACAAAATGTTTAATATCTAAAAAACACTAAACTAATTGAGTTTCTTTTTTTCCAAATCTTCAGATAAGACTTTTAGCTATCTTGACATCATTTGTCGTAAGAATCACTGAAAAACCTTTGAACCATTCAGCTAGAAAAGAACAGTTTAAAATCATTTTGTGTCAGCCCCACTGTGTCTTGTCAACTAAGCAATGATGAGAGGAAAAAGATCATTCAGATCTTCAGTAATGGTACCAACATTCATACTCTGGCTTCCATTTTCAAAGTCCATTCAAGAACAATCAAGAGAACGGTGAAAAAGTTTAAAAAAGAGGGAAAAGTAGAGAGGAAAACTGGATCAGGTCACAACAGCAAGAAAAATCATCATTTCAACTTAGAGCTAAATACATTCTTATTGCTCAAAGTAGAGTCCAATAGAGTTATAAAAACCTCGGAGAATTCCAGTAAGATATCTTAATCATTTAATTTAAGCACAATGCTTAATCTAGCAATTGGACAAATTTGCTGTTACACAATTTGGACAATTTTGCTGTTACACCCGGTATATATATATAATGTGCATAATTCTTCAATTCACTCGCAGATAAGCAGTTATGCACGGATACACGCGTATAGTGTAGACGGAATGCAAAACTAATAATCTTGTTATATGTTTTAAAATATTCTCATAGTTATCTTAGAAATGGCTGCAAATTATCGTCTGATTCGTTTCTACAATTTAGATTTGTGCGAGAACATAGGTCAAAATAATGCCTTAAGGTATATAACTTTCGACTATACCCTAGTTTCGTGCGTTGAATTCTCTCGGCCCGGATAATGAAATTAATGTTTATTTTTAAAAAAAAAAAATTTCAAATATTATCTTAAGTTATTTTCTTGTGATGAAAGGAGGAAACATACCTAATTCAAAACAAAAGCAAACCAAAAAATAGAAAAGAGAGACAGACAGACAGACAGACAGACAGAGAGAGGAAAGAGAAAAGAGAAAGATAGAGAAAAAACAGACGCAAAAAAATTATGGGAAGAAACGTGTGAGAAAGCATGAGAAATAAGATTCTCACTGAATGCAATTTTTTATTATATATATATATATATATATATATATATATATATATATATATATATATATATAAAAGGCGAGATATTCCTAATCATGAATAGCAAAACGAGAACAATTTGCCTCGTAGATTAAAGAAAGGGTCGTCTCAAAATTCCCTGAATGTTACTCGGACCGACAGGTACATGAAGGTCGGAAGGCAAAACAACCGAAATGATCAAAACAACAAAGACGAGGACATTAGTCTAAATGCAATGATGTAAATATTGATGAAACATCACCCCAGAAATTGAAATAAACTTTGAAGATTTTATAAGAATTATTTTCGAATTGCCATTAATTTTGTTAGATTTCTATCATTATAACATTTGATAGAAAAAAAGACGAGAGAACACAAAAGTACTATTTATTTTATATATATATATATATATATATATATATATATATATATATATATATATGTGTGTGTGTGTGTGTGTGTGTGTGTGTGTGTGACTAAGTGCGTTAGCGAAGTAGTCTAAACTCGTGATTTTAAATGAGCCCTAATAGATGTGATTTGAATCCTAGTTCCACCTAAAATAATGGAAAAGTGTTAATAACAGGAAATATAAGCAGACTAAAAATAACAACCTCTTAACTTAACCCCCAACCTCCTTAAAAGGTCAGTATCTTAAGATGTTACATTGTCTTGAGCAACAGAGGTCAACCGAAGTAGCGTACTGGTTTTGTTTGCTTGTTTTCCATGTTTCTAGTATCAATAATTTTGCATGTAAATACGACCACGAGAATAGTGCTTATTTTACATTTTTAATATTTAGTGTTTATTTAAACAAATAACTGTTTAATAAAATGCATTTTTATTTTAAATCGTTTAAATGCGGTAAGACATTTCATATTATTCTGAACATGCCTGCCTATATTTAATGATTGAGATGTACTTATTGGTATTCGTTCGGAATTAGGATAATTACGCACGATAATTTTCGTCTTATCCGAGTTTGAATGGAATTGATGCCAAGGTTCATATGTCGGATAGAAATTCGCACTCTTTGACACCTGCGTCAATTGCTTGATTACAGATTCTGTAAATCTTTACAAAAATCTTAAGAAGCATATTTTGCTAGAATAGAAAGTGAGATGTGGAGTTCATAATCCAATCATGTAATAACACAAGACATTTATTTCTGATATTTATTCAATTTCTTATATAGTTAACAGTTTTCATTGCCAAAGTTATCAATTTTCGGTGATTCGTGGTGGTAGATGTAATAGTAGCAGTGAAAGATTTTGTAGGGATAAATAAATATCTCCTAATGTCTATATTTGTTGGAGTGAGTAGAATAGATAACTAAAACCATAACTGAGCGATTATAGCTAAGTTGGTCTTTTCAGTTTTTCATCTTTCACGATGTCACATATTGTAAAAATATCACTTCTGAGAGCTACAGAAAACTAAACGTTTCTTGGACTAGTTAGTTTTTTGTAAGAACTGTTCATTAATTATTGTTTATATGTGACTCTTTCCGTTTCTTTGATCACTACATTTAACCCGATGTACGTATTTGTAAAATTCATAACATATTTTAGAAACGGTCAATATATTTCCGAATCGGTAAATTTTCTCGATGACCAATTGAGTAAAACATGATTATTAAGCCTTAACAAGAGGAAGGTTAAATTTTGTCTGCATTCTAGCGTGCTATGTCATATAGGAATAAAGTGTCGCTGTCGCTTGAACAAGGATCGCCAGAGGGCAAGCACAGTCAACCTCATCTTGAAATAATCACGTGATGGGTAAAGGAAATATATATATAGGAATTAGCGGCGTCTAACCGGCTATTGTTACTATTATTGTATCTGTGATTTACAAAGTCACTCCTACAAACGGGCGTTACAAAACTCTGAAAAGTAGTATATGTTTATATTTTTTACTTTGCCGTTTTATACAGCAATTTATTTTTGTAAGGCACATTTATTTTGTCTGATGCAAAGTAATTATAAATTATAATAGTCTAGAAGTCGCACATTTGGCTTAACCTTTGGTATTTACATATTGCTATGATCTCATCAGTAATATTCCACACAACCCCATTGCAAAGTTGGAAACGGGGTTTGCAATATTAATTTATATTTGCATTTATTTTATTGACAACCGATAATAGAGCCATTGCTTTCAGTCCTACCAAATGTTTTATGAATGTGATCCTTTAAAGATATCGGCACTTGATTATATTTAAAAGCATTGTAACACGCTTGTTTGATCCTGTGATAAAAAACGGAAAACAAAAAATATTTGCTGAAACAAAGCGTTTTACCTATAGAATCGATGATTGTAATTGAATAAACCTATGTATCAGTATAAAAAGATTGACAATTATAAACTGTATATTAATTGTAAATTTATATTGCTTTTCATTGTTGTAGTATTGTTATTTGTTTCATATAAGTCAAATTATTGTCATTGATGATGTGAAACTAAAGTTCCATGTCGGTATCACAAAATTGTTTTCTTTTTGTCGATAAGTAATTGCTGATTTAAAAGTGTTAAAGTGGTCTTCTACTGCGTTTTCTGTCTATTAGGAACCAATTATGCAAATTTTTGTTCCATTTGGTACCCTTTGTCTTTGCTTTGCTTTCCTCCATCTTCATTTTTCTCGCTTAGTCATTGGCTATGATATCCCTATTGCCCCCTTTATATAGCTTAGTGTTATATATTTCAAACAAATGTGTTTTCATGTTCATGGTAGATTGTTATATACGTTTTTATTATTTATCTTTTCTATTTCTCCTTTTTATTTTCAACTTTTTTTTTTTATCTTTCTACTTTTCTCATTGTTCCTCTTCTACGTTTCAGCATTGTTTTCCTTTTCTGCTTTTTTTTTGTTTTCTCCCTTTTTTCCTTCACTTCTTTTCTCCTATTTCATTTCTCTCTTTATACTTTATATCTTTTCATGTTTTTTTTTCTTTCATGCTTTTCTCCATACCTTAATGTTTTCTGCATTTTCACTTTACTGATGTTATTCGTTTTTCCTTTTCAGTTTTTCTCATTTTTTCCCCTTTTCTGCTTCTGATTTTCAGCTTTTTCTGTTTTGTTCTCTTATTCCTTTTGGATTTTCTGTACTTTTCATCTTTTCTAAATTTGTTTTCTGTTCTCTCTGCTTTTCTCCTTTTTCATTTCTGCTTTTCTGACTGCTTCCGTTTCTTCATTTTCTTCTGATTTTTTCTTTTTTGTATTCTGCTTTACTTCTTTTCTGATTTTCTTCTTTATGGCTTCCAGATTTCTTTCTTTTCTACCTTTTTGGTATTATTTCTTTTCTTCTTCATTTATTTTATGATGTTTGGCCTTTTTCTTTTCACATTTCTTTTTTTGTCGGCTTTCACCTTTTTATTTTCTTGAAAGAGAAATGTGGTAAAGAAAAAGAGAAAATCATAAAAGAAAAAAGGAAAAAGCAGAAATAAAAAGTTTTGTAAAAAAAGATTTTCTTTGCGTTTCTTCTTTTTTACTTACTGCTTGTCTTACTGTTTTCTTTTCCGCATTTTTCTTTTTATTCTTTTTAACCTTTTTCTTTTTACTTTTCTTTTCTCATTTTTTTCTTATCTAAGACATGGATTTCCTTCTTCTTTTGCTTTCTCATTTTTTCTTCACTAATTTCCTTCTTTTTCTGCTTTTGTTCTTTTTTCCTATTTATCTAAATTTTTGATTTCTGTTTTTATCTTTTCTTGTCTTCTATAATAAAGTAGAAATTAAAAAAAGGAAAAAGCAAAAACTACTTTTTTCTCCCTTTTCTCTCCTTTTTTATTTTATGCTTTTCTCCTTTTTCCATTTCAGTTTTTCTGCTTTTTTTCTTTTCAAATTCTGATGTTTGTTTTTGCATTTGTGATGTTTTTACTGATAGTTTTTCTAATTTTCTACTCATTTACTTTTGCTTTATTTTTCTGCTTTTTCTTTTTCTTGTTTTTCTGAATTTAATTTCTGCAATTTTAATTTCTAGTTTTATTTCTTTTTTTTCTTTTCTCCTTATATTTCTTTTTTTCTACTTTTTCCTTTTCTCTTTTTATTTTTTACTTTTTCTTTTCCGCTTTTCTATTTTTGCTTTTCAGCTCTTTAATTTCTGATTTTTTTTTTTTTTTTTTTTTTTTATGAATTTTTCTACTGTTCGGGTTTTTTATATTCTGCTTTATTCGTTTCTGCTTTTATTTCTTTTTTCTTTACTCCTTTTAACATTTTGTCTTTTCGCATTTTTTATTTTCTTTTTTCTTTTCATTGTATGTTTCACATTTTCTTCTTCCTTTTTCACTTCTGCTATTGTCCATTTTTTATATTTCAGGTTTTCTGCTTTTTTATTTCTACTTTCTGATTTTTTTTTATTTCTGTTTTCCTTTTTTATTTTCCGCTATTGTGCTTTTTTCTTCTCCGTTTTTGATTTCAGCTTTTCTGTTTTTTCTATATTTCTGCTTTTTTCATTTCTGTTTTCATTTGTTTCTGCTTTTGTGCTTTTTTCTTTGTGCTTTTTTTTCATTTCTGCTTTTCAATTTCTGCTATATTTCTTTCTTCTTTTCTCCTCATTATATTTCGTCTTTAGACATTTTTTTACTTTTCTGTTTTTTCTTTTCTTGGTTCTTTTCTGTTTTTTATACTATTTGACTTTTTTGCTTTTTTCTGTTACTGTAATTTTTTCTTTTCTGTTTTTTTATAATTTTTACTTTTCTATATTTTTAGTTTTTGCTTTTTTCATTTCTGCTTTTGTGATGTTTTCTTTTTTAATTTCCGATTCTTTTAATTTGACTTTTTTTTGGTTTTCACTTTCATGTTTTTTCTTTTTTATAAAAAAGAAAAAAACATGAAAGTTTTTCTTATCTTCTTTTTCTGCTTTTTCTTTTTCTGCTTTTTTAATTCCTGTTCATATTAATTTCTCTTTGCTCTTTTTTCATTTATATTTTTCTCATTTCTTTTCTACTTCTCTTATTTTCTAGTACTTATTTATTTCTGACTTTCTTTTCTGACTGATTTTGTTATTTTTCTTATTTCAGATATTTGTTTTGTTTTAATTTCTATTTTTCTGCATTTATCTTATCGACCTTTTATACATTTTCTTCTTTTTTTGCTACTTTGCTTTTCTGTTTTTTCCATTTTCATTTTTGTTACTTTTTTCTTTTTTAATTTTTTTCTTTTCAGTAATTCTCCCCTTTTCATTTTCTACTTTCCACATTTTTTTCTTTTTCGCTGTTTTCATTTCTGCTTATTTGATATTTCTTCTACTTTCAATTTTTTCAATTTTATGTATTTTTTTTCGTTTCACACTTTTAACCTTTTCTTCTATTTTTATTTTGCGATTTTTTTCTTTTCTGGTTGTTTCTTTTCTGCTTTCTTTTCTACTTGTCTGCTTTTTTAATTTCTATTAATATTCCATTGTTTTCTCCTTTTTCATTTCTATTTTTCTCATTGTCTTTTCTTCTGTTCTAATAATTTTTTTTTTTTTTTTTTTACTGTTTTTCAATTTTTGTCTTCTGCGTTTGTCCTGCTTTTCTACTTTTTTCCCTATATTTCTGCTATGTTTGCTTTTTACTTTTATGTCTGTAACGCTTTGTTTTTTTTTTGCTTTTTTGTTTCCTGCTTTTTTCCTATTTTTTGCTGCTTTTCTCCATTTTCCTTTTTTTTACTTTAAATTTTTACTTTTCTATTTTTTTTCTTTTTAGTAGTTCCCTGATTTTTCAGTTTTGCCTTTTTTTCTCTACATCATATTATTTACTTTCTTCGATTTTTGTTTATTGCTTTTATGTTTTTTCTACTTTTTTGTTTTCCGATTTTTCTTTACTGTTTAGTCTGCTTTTTCTTTTTTCTGTTTTTTGTTTTTCTCTTTTTATTTTCTTTCTGCTTTCCTACTTTTTTCTTTTCCTCTTATTTATGTTTGCTTTTCTCTTTTTATTTTCTTCTCTACTTTCTGATTTTTTGTTCTGCTTTTTTTTGCTTTTGTGCGTTCTTCTAATTTTCTGTTTTTTCTGTCTTTTCTGTTTTTTTATATTTTATCCTTTTCTGTTTCTTGTTTTTTTCATTCCTACTTTTATTCAATTATTCTTTCTCTTTTCATTTATTTTCTAATTTTTCCTATTTGTCTTTTTTACATTCTGGTTATTTTATTTCTGCTACTGTGCTTTTTCTGCTTATTTGTTTCTAGTTTTCTGCTTTTTTCTACATATCTGTTTTTTTTTCTTATATGCTTTCTTTCTAATTTTTTGCATTTTTCTGCTTTTTTCTTGCTTTTCCTCCTTTTTGAATTCTGTTTTTTAATTTCTGCTAATGTAATATTTTCTAATCTGTTTTTCTTCTTTTGTCTTTTCAGATTTTCTGCTTTTTCTTTTATACTATTTCATATTTTTTCTGTTTTTTTGTTTGTTGCTATTATGCTTATTTTTCTTTTTTTTGTCGTTTCTTTTCTGTTCTTTTTATTTTTTGCATTTATTTTTTTTTTGTTCTCACAATTTTCTTTCGTATTGCTTTCTTTTTTTCTACTGCGATTTTCTTCTTTTTCTGCTGCTTTACGTTTCTACTTTTCTTCATTTTCATTTCTATTTTATATTATTTTTTCTATTTTGTTCTTTTCGACGGCTTATCTCTTAATTTTCTATTTTTCTACTTTTCCTTTTGTACTTTCTGATGTTTTTATTTTCTGACATTTTTATTTTTTGTCTTTATGCTATTTCTACATTTTCTTCTTTTTCTACATTTTCTTCTTTTTCTACATTTTCTTCTATTTCTTCATTTTCTTTTTTTTCTTTTCCATTTTCTGCTTTTTTTTTAATTTCAGCTTCTATTCATTTCTGCTTTTTCATTTTTTCTCGTTATATTTCCAAATATTTTTCTGATTTTCTCCTTTTTATTTTCAGATGATTTCTTTTTTCATTATTACTTTTCTGCTTTCTGCTATCTTGTTTATTTTATGATTTTCCATTCATCTGCATTTCTCATTTGTTTGCCTTTTGCATTTTTAATTTTTATTATAAAGATTTTTAAATTTCTGCTTTTATTAAATTTCTGTTTTTCATCTTATTTGATTTCTTCTTTTCTCATAGTTTCTTTTTTGATTTTTCCTTTTTCTCTTTTCAGATTTTCTGCTTTTCTGTTATTTTTTGTTTTTACTTTTCTGTTTTTCTTTACTTTTCTGTTTTTCTTTACTTTTATGCTTTTTCTATTATACGTTTTCTGCTTTTTCTTTTATTCTTATTTCTATTTTTATCATTTTTCTGAATTTTTTATTTTTTATTTTTCTCCATTTTCATTTTTGGAATTCCTTTTTTATTTTTCATTGTCTAATTTGTTTTCTTTTCAGCAGTAGTTTTTCTTTTCTGCTTTTCAAATTTTGTTCTTTCTCACGTTTTCATTTAAGCTTTTCTGATTTTTCTTTTTTGCAATCCGATTTATTAATTTTCTGCACTTTTTGTTTTTTTATGCCTTTTCTAATGCTTTGCAATATTTACTTGCATGAAAAATGCTGAAATGAAACCATCTAATTCTTCATCCATCAACAACCATTTGTGTGTTTTTATTTTGTTTTTACAAAAGTGACGTAACTGGCATAATATCTAAATGTAAGTTTCTTACGACAAAATCTTATCTGATGATGTTCGAGTAGCGCAAAAGTTCTCATCTCGGTAAGTGGATTGTTCAAATTCAGACCAAGTCTTTTACTTTCATTTCGCACTAATGTCCTTGGAAAAGGTATGAGTTTTCCCCCAGACATTAACTAACTAGTAAAGCAGATTGAGTTCTCATGCTTTGAAGGCAACCAATATAACTATTCTCAATTAAAAAGCATCATAAATAACAGGACAGATGAAGCTCTTTAAGTCTTGGTAGGACAATTCTGAATTCAAAACCAGTCGGAAGACGAATGTGCTACGTCAAATTATCATGCTCTATACATACCTACTGCTGATCTACACATAGTACCCCTACGACATTGATAAGTTGCAGGCTCCGTGGACATGTCTAAAGTGGTGCTGCAAAGTTCTTTTCCCAAAACCAGTATTTCAATGATCAAACATCAGTCTTTTTTTACCGAATTGTTCTAGAAACCTGAGAAACGATGTACCAAAGGTATGTACGTTTCATGACTCTAGGTAGGATAGATAATTTTTCAGCACCTCATGCTATTTGCATAAAATAAATACATGAATATGTCTGCATATATGTATACATACAAGACCACACACACACACACACACACACACACACACACACACACACACACACACACACACACACACATGTTCAGTCGCATATGCTTATAATTTTTATCTCATTATTTACATAAGAAGATTAGCTTCTTCCTTTTCCGCTCAGCTGACACTCCTAGTGTGTACCAGCTGTATCGTTATGGTCTGTTATACCTGTTGAAACAGGGTGCTCTAGGTGGAAATTATAATAGGAATCGAGTATAGTCATGGTAACGAAGAAAACACTAATCATCATTGTAGCAGCAGTGGCAGTAGCATTAGTAACTGTGGTTGACATAGCAACAGGAGATGAATTAGTCATCATGGTGGCGGTTGCCCTAACACAATTTATCGTTAATGTAAAAGAAGTATCTTTAAATGTTCTTCATGACACTTGCATTGTTGATAATGGTAGCAGGGAACAATTACCAACGATAAGTAATCGAATATAGAAAAGATTTTAAATTGGGAACATTGTTATCTTTCTTGCTTACATAAGTAACTTTGCTATTATTATAATTTAAGTATTGCTTTTGATCGTGACCGTGTTAGTGATGATAAATTTTATGATGAATGATTCTTTTAGTGTTCAATTTTAATCAATGTTGTTTTCGTTAAGACTCATTAATTTTGTCTTCTCCACACTAAGTATTTGACGGCTCTCCCCACAGTTATCGTACCGATTTCAATAATGTTGTTATCTAATTATTTTCGCTTCTCCGTTCTTTCTTTCATCTCTAAATCGTTCTATCTTTATTTTACAAAGTTCTTCCGATCCATTACAATAATGTGTGCAAGCTTCATCTTTATATGTCACATTTTTTCATTCATTAGCAAAGTCCTGATCTTTATCCAAATTTTAATTTACTTCACATATATAAATCAAATAGATTAGACACAACATAAAAAAAGCTACTTTTTGTATTGACTAAATCTGCTTTATCGGTCTTGAGCCAAGGATCTGGTTGAACTTCTGTTTTCTAAAGAATGAGCAATTCTTCTTCAAATCACAAAACTTCCAGTGTTTTTGAGAACTAACTACTCTTTTAAGTGCTATCTTGTCATTTTGAAAATGATTATGTTTGGATAGGATGGCTCGACTGACACTTAAAATGCAAAAAACTTCCACCTTTCCTATTCTGAGGATACTTATCATTATTATTGTTGTTGTTCTTTCATCGAGACTTTACCTCAATCGTACCTGGTGGCTTTCACTGAAAGTTCCAACTCTTCCTCTGTTTTCCAGTTCCTTCGGCCTTTTTCATAGACTCTTTGGTTTCGGATCCTTGCGACTGGCACAACTATAAATTACCTTTATGGTCTATGTTATACTCCGTCCAATTAGATCTCATTCCGATTCATTCTGCACGCTGGCGGGATGTGAACGCCGCGAGGGCAGAAGGAGAAAAATCAAAACTTGTTTTCTACGCATTCGGCACCACACACCACATCCGGTCTACAAAGGGAACTCCGGCAGTGGCTAATCGCGAACGTTGCCGCCAGTCAAAGAGACGCCCTTGGGGATACCAGAACTGCTTAAATGCCTCTGAGGACGAATAAGAATCAGTTGCGGCCGGTCCGGCGGCCGGCTGTCACGCCGCCACTGCTGCTGCTACTGCTGCTACCGCCACCATGGCCCCGTCACCATGACAACAGGGTGGTGGACAGGCCACCACGCAAAGTACTACTACCACAACCGTCGCCGCCTTCACTGCCATCACTCATGACGCACATTTCAACGACCGTCACTACTTCTTGGCTTGACCTAGATCCTCCGCTATCCAGTTTTCGACTCAACATCTCTACCTCGTTTCCTCCCAGCTAAAGGCCTCCATCGATACCAACAACCGCCGTCACCTCGGCTTACATCGACATACCTTGGCTCGCTTACAAGGCACTCCCTTCAAAGTGTGCGCAACTACCTCCGTTCCACAGAACAGCTCTACCTCGACTTGCTTACAAGGCACGCTTCGCAGTCGACGCATGGAACTGTGTTCCACAGAACTGGCATTACGAAATCCGCCGTCACTTCGGCCTACCTCGACCTTGTTTGGCCCCAGCGAAATCCGTTCCATACAATAGATCTACCAACGACAAGACGACTAACAACTGTGACATCAATCCAGCAAACGTGCGCTAACCCCGGCTACAGCGGCACAAGAAATGGTACAATTTCCGACATTACGCGTACCCGACCATATTCCTATAATATATACAAAATAAACGCCATAATAAAATATCATGGACAATGACGCTGTACGCCATGATCAAATATCAAGGACAATGATTCCGTAGGCGATAATAAAATATCATGGACAAGGATTCTGCAAGCCATAATAAAATGTCAGCGACAATGATTCTGTAAGCCATAATAAAATATCAAGGACAATGATTTTGTACGTCATAATAAAATAACATAGACAATAATTCTGTATGCCATAAAAAAATAATATGGACAATGATTTTGTTCATCACAATAAAATATCAACGAAAATTATTTTGTATGCCATAAAATTTTATTGACAATGATTCTGTAAGCCACAATAAAATATTAATCACAATGATTCTGCAAGTCAAGATAAAAAACCATGGATATAAATACCATAGAAAATGATTCTGTAATCCATAATAGTATATCCATGAAAATGATTTTGCATGTCATAATAAAATAATATGTACAATGATTCTGTACGCCATAATAAAATATCATGAACAATGATTATGCATGTATGATACTTTATTATGGCTTACAGAATCATTGTCCTAAGCCATAATAAAATATCATGGACAATGATTCTGTATGCCACAATAAAATATCAAGAACAATGATTCTGTAAGCCATAATAAAATATCATGGACAATTATTGTGTAGGTCATAATAAAATACGATGGACAATTATTTTGTATAGGAAAAGAGAATATTATGGATAATGATTTTGTAGGCTGTAATAGAATATCAAAGACAATGTTTCCGTCCGTCATAGTAAAATAACAAGTAGAATCATTCTGAACGCCATAATAAAATTCTCTAAGCCAACATAAAATATCAAGGACAATGATTCTGTAAGCCACAATAATATATCAAGGATAATAGTTCTGTACGCCATAATAAAATATTATGGACAAGGATTCTGTAAGCCATAATAAATAACATGGACAATGATTCTGCAGGCCATAATAAAATATCAAGGACAATGATTCTGTAGGCCCTCATTAAATATCAAGGAATATGATTCTGTACGCCATAATAAAATATCATGGACAATGTTTCTATAGGCCATAATAAAATATCATGGGCAACGATTCTGAATGCCATAATAAGATATCAAGGACAATGATTCTGCAGGTCATAAAAAATATCAAAGAGAATTTTCTGTAGGCCATAACAAAATATCAAGGATAATGATTCTGCAGGCCATAATAAAATATCAATGACAATGATTCTGCACACCATAATAAAATATAATGGACAACAATTCTGTAAGACAATAAAATATCATGCAAAATGATTCTATAAGACATAATAAAATATCAAGGGCAATTATTCTGTAGGCCATAGCAAAATTTCATGGACAATAATTCTGTACGCCATAATAAAATCAAGGACAATGATTCATTGTACATGATATTTTGTTATGGCCTTCTAGGCCATAACAAAATATCATGTATAATGAATCTGTACTCCATAATAAATTATCATGGACAATGATTCTTTATGCCATAATAAAATATAATGAATTAATGATTCTTGATGCCATAATATTATGTGAAGGACAATTGCTCTGTACGCCATAATGGAATATCATGGACAATGTTTCTATAAGTCATAATAAAATATCAAGAACAATGATACTGTAGGCCACAATAAGAGATAATTCACAATGTTTCTGTAATCCATAATAAAATATCAGACCCAATGATTCTGGACGCCATAATAAAATATCAAGCACAATGATTCTTTAGACCATAATAAAATATCATGGGCAATGATTCTGTACGCCAAAATAAAATATCAAGGACAATGATTTTCTA